TTTTTTTCTTTTTTTCTAAGACACAGGACTACATTCTCTTGGCATTCAGGCAATCGGCTAAATAATGTTTATGACAGAGTAGCTTTAAGATCCATGAAGGTTTACTATGATCATTCGAGAAGTGTGTCAAAGGCCAGGTGTTCATTGCTTCCTTCATCTGGCAGCACTAAAGAATAAATATAGTAACTTCATCTAATCCAGTAAGGTTCAGTCACAATGTCTGGACAAAAATAGGAAATCAAAACATCAGCTGGTGAAAACATTAAACTATGCCGTTTTATTTCTAGGGTAAACCGCTGTGGGTAGGCCATGCTCAGACACTGATTCCAGGAAACACTTTATTTATCTTAACACTTTCATAATAGATGAAAGAATATTATCATTGATCAGCAGTTGTGTCAGATGTGATTCTATAATCAAGAATTCAGATGAAAGCAAAGGACAACTGTTAACACACAGACAAACAGATTTTCAGATTAAATTCTGATCTGTAGTGCCATCTTAGTCTTAGATATGTGTGATATTGCACAGAATATGGCGTCAGTACTTTCCTAATCGGGTTTCTGTTTGAATGTGGTGTTTAGAAATAAGATATTGTCTTGTATTAAGTTTAGCTATTTAAAAGTTTTGTTCTGTTTTGTTTTTGAAATGTATTATTGTTGGAATGCTCAGATTAATTCCTAAATTGGATTCCTAAAATTCTAAAATAATTTGCTAACTGTCATGTTTTTTCAAAGTGTTGTCTTTGTCTTCTCTGTGGAATGCAAAAAGAGATTATTGACAGAATATTGACAGTCTTTTCCATACATGAAAGCAGTAGTGAAAAGCAAGAAGTCCCACAAAGGTGATTCATATGACTTGTGTCCTATATTCTATATTCCTAAGTCTTCTGAAGCCATACAATAACTTCAGGATTCAGACTTTTTGGTCAGTTGAAGCTCTTTGACACAAAATGCTTTCTTGAAAAATGTCAGTCATTTCTAAATAAATTTTCAAATAAAATATTTTTTATATTTTTAAATAAAAGTTAATATAAATATTTATATACATTACATTTTTTTT